AACAACTTTTAAAAAAATCTTAAGTTTAATTATTTCCCTTTACTCAGGCGTGACTCTTTGGCTATTACTGTTGCATTTCACGCGCAAACAAAAATTATCAACAATTTTGAACATTTTTATACATTTTCGTATTATCAAGCGAAAATGTGCGGGCATTCATTTTTATAGAATGCATTATCACTCAACTATCAATGCTTAATGATGCATTTTATTGTTGTTGCTCGAAAGAAGATACCCCGAGACAACGCCTAATTAACTCGTTACAAACGATTTTATGCCGCCGCCTTCAATGCTTATCAGTTGCTTCGCATTGGCATCGTCATCATTATTGGTGCAAATTCCAAGCGGGTCATTTCAACAGCCAGCTAGACCACACTTGGCCGCTTATCAGCGCGCATACAAAGCAATTGTGGAATTATAGCATTAAGATGTACATACACATCTATATACAGTGGGGAGCAGTGATGAGTACATGCTGATTTTTGTTAAATATTTGCATCGTTTTTTAAGTTAAATTTTTTTTGCTATCAATCTAGCTTAATACAGAGCTTAGAAAAATTGAACAAATATTCATTAAAATGTCGGCCGCTGTGGTGTACTGGTAAGCAGTGCGCGCTTCCACTCCGCAATGCCTGGGTTCAACCCCTGGTAAAAGCAACATCGAAAAAAAATAAAAGGTTTTTTCTTAACAGCGGTCGTCCCTCGGCAGGCAATGGCAAACCCCCGAGTGTATTTCTGCCATGAAAAACAGCTTCTCATAAAAATACAATCGCCGTTCGGAGTCGGCGTTAAACTGTAGGTCCCTCCTCTTTGTGTGACAACATCAAGGCGCACGCCACAAATCGGAGGAGAAGCTCGGCCAAACACTAACATATGTGTAAGCGCCAATCAATTATTATTATTATTCATTAAAATGTTTCGCTTTAATTTTTGAGATTTTTTTGTTCCAGGTTTTTTGCAATTTTTTGTATACTAGCAAAGCAAATTTTAGAAATGTTAAATTTTTGTAAACTCTGTATAAAGTTTGATTTACATGGTTTTAGCTAAAGCATGAACCATATTTTTATGAAAAAATAACAAAAAAAATTTTAACTTTGAAAACCCTGCAAATATTTAACAAAAATCGCCCTGTACTCATCACTGCTCCCTACTGTACATACATTCTATATTTGCTATGTACTCTCATATTTAAAGATGTTTGTTATATTTAATTTTTTTTTATTTGCCATTTTGCGATAAGCTGTTGCTGGCTGTTATAGGAATTGCCGTGTGGCTTTCGATGGTGTCAAATGCTGTGAATTTGTGTTGGATTTGTTTATGTTTACATTTGCGATTGTGTTTCAGTTTATATTTTTGTGAATGAGTAAGCGTGGTTACCGGAAGTGAAGAGGATTTTCGACTGTATAATGAGTTGGTTTCTTGTCATAAACTCACAAGAAGGTGTATTAATAGTATTTACCTACATTAGGGTGGTAAAAAAGTCGTAATTTCAGTGCTCTCACACCCTAGGATTTTTTTATACAAAAAATATCCCCCCTTTTTTCTTATTTGAAATCAAAAAATAATTAGAGGTCGCCAACGCACTCACAGTTTTTCATGTTTTTTATATGAAAATAAAGTTCTTGAAAATCAATATTTTTCGATCGGAAAACTGTTTCTCTTCACGAGATTTCCAATAATAATAAAGTATTGTATATTTAACCATTCTTTTATATTAACTATTTTTTATACTTAGGGCCCCCAAAAACCACAAAAATTGTTAGTTTTAAAAAATGGTTAAATAAACAATTGGGTATTATCTATGCTTTGAAGTCTCCTAAAGAGAAACATATATTCTGATAGATAAATATTGATTTCCAAGAATTCTATACTATTTCTAAGAAAAAAACAATAATTTACCCATATAAAATCCTTAAAAAACTTGGAGCGTTTTGAGCGGAATCCAAAAATTTTTTGATTGAAAAAAATAAAACAGGAGTATTCTTTTCTCGATATAGAACAATCCCAGGGGTCTTAGATCAGATCATTGCAGTCTGTGTGATAAATGTCGCTACTGGTTCCTAATTGAGATGAATGACAACAGAATGAGCAAATAACTACCGGGAAAAAGCGAGAGCAGTGTACACCTTTTCCACTAGTACTCAACTTTAGTTAAACTGTTAGCATTGCAAAGTTCTCATTTTCAGATCATAGAAACATTTCCAGTCCAAAGGCGAACTTTTGGACCAAGAAAATAAACTCTATGTGAACTCGTCAAGACCGAAATGGAAGTAGAAGGCACCATTTTTTTATAGAATGGAGAGTACTCACTCTACCAAAGTAAGAATACCGTAGTGGTATAATTGATGGAATTGACTTAACCGGAGCTATAACCGCCCGCATTCGCTGGCCTGTTTAACATCATAACTTGGCGACCTATGCTGTCGTTAGCAAGGTTGTAACTGCTGCTGCAGCCCGCTTCATTGGAAACCCGCCAAAATTTCCTAGCCAACACGGCTACTCTATAAATCGAGCGTGTCTCAAGCGATGGATCTCAAGGCGGAGATTCGACTGCTGGTAAACCAACACAAACAAAGGAAGTGGAGGAGCACCTGAAGTCTTGCAATTTCACACTGAAATAACCCGTGGCTTTCTTGCTTCTTCACTACAAGGAACCTAACTATCTGCCCTACAAAGTATTCAGCAAACTTTTCCCCACCTGGACGAAAGAGGTGGATAAAGCGACAGACTTGTCAGAATACAGCATTCCGGACAGCTACGCGATGCCTTTTGATGTCGCCGGAACATCATCTTCACAGCGATGTCCAAATGCTTTCCGTCAGAAAGCACAACATTATGCAATGCAATTCAAGTTCAATTAAAACCCCTCTCCCTCTGGAAGTAGCACACTTTCTGGGCCCTCCGTTATTTGAGCTTTTAGACAAAGATTGAGGGACAAACAGATTTAGGTTACGCTAAATAACATGCTACATCAACAACAGAAACAACGGGTTTTGTTGAAACCAAGTTAGGTACACTGACTCAAATCAATACAGGGTTTTTAGCCCTTACTTGGATAAGGTGCTGTAGACAGCTTGCAACCTCACTACAGACCTATTAATGGCTCTAAGCTTTCACTAAATCCCAGCCTTAACAGACAGGTTGACTTTATAGCGGTTTGGTTCGAAAATTTCTTAATTCTTACACTGCCCATCGCAATGTATTCTTACCTCTAAGCTACAATAAGATCTGTAAATAAGTAAGCTGTACGGAGTTCCTGAAATGCAATACGTGTACCTAGCCTAGGGGACATCGCAGCAAATTGGGCTGCAAACGAGCTTGGGTGTATGCCCAGTAGAAAATTTAGGTAGGCTTTAGGGGCACCCTCANCTCTAATGCTCCCATTGACCTATTGTAATTGTTATAAAATGTTTCTTTATTATTCACTTTCATTTGAAATAAAGCTTTTTTGGTTCATTGAAACACCCTATACAAAGGTAATTATTTTACTTTTACTTTATATAACCCTTATATGGTGCCGACGGGTTTTCTAAGTCCATAAAAAAAAGAACAATACGTATGCATACATATTCCGGCGTACATTGCCCACACCATTTTGACGTCCGCTCCCAAAGAATCAAGAGCATGACAGACGCAACAGACGCATGACAATTTTATTGACGGCTAATATCTGAATTATGCATTCAAAGCAAGCAACGCGTCGGAAAAAGAAAATGCATACAAATAATATCCATCTACATATGTACATACACTAGGCGACAAATTAAAGTGCACACCTCGTTCTAATATAATATTCGCAATTATTTTTATGAAAAATTTTTTGTATTAATTATTTTTTGGAAATATAGTTCATTCTATAATATACATAAACTATATAAAGTTTCACTCTTTACATAAAGTTCATAAAAATTCAAAAGTTATCATCACCCTCATTGCGAGAGTCGTGTCGAATGCAAGTCGTTTTTCGAGAGTCGAATCGTATCGAAAATTTCACGTCATTGCCTAAAATTTCCACTCGACTAGTGTATTAAAACGGGACAAACTTGGCAGCACTGTATAGTTTTCGACAAATTTCGTCGTTTACTTTTTTCAGCACGACAGTAAACAATGCCAATGTTGTCGAGTCGTACAATTTAGCCTAATTTACGACTTACGCAATGAGGCTGCATGAAAATTTTCAACTTTTTATTCAGAATTTCTGGAAAATTTGGAGTATACCGTTGATTTTTTTAAATTTCTTTTGGGTTAGTGTTGCGGTTTCTTCCACATACAAATAATTTGTTTATTCGTTATTGGAAGCAAATCGCGCAAAAAAAATCTAAAAAATCAACGGTACTTAATTTTTAGCTACTTAAACTTGCACTTTGTTTTACTAAAATTGATCGGGCTACAAAACTGTATACTCAAATTTTCTAGAAATTTTAAACAAATTTTTAAAAATTTGATATTTTTTTGAATTTTATAACTTTATTAAAAGTGAAGCTTTATATGGTTTATATTATAGAATGAACTAATTTTATAAATATTATGGCGAAAAATTTTTCATGAAAAAATTGTGAGTACAAAATAAGCTATTGTTTTTTTTTTTTAATTTTCAGAGCTTTTACTCGATTTATTCAAAAAAATTATGTAAAAGGTACGAAATTTTAAGAAAAGCAATTGCTTATTTTTTATTCATCGGCCCATTATATTAGAACAAGGTGTGCACTTTAATTTGCGCCTAGTGTACAACATAAATATGTATAAACACACATCACACATTTCATTGTGGTTGTGGTTAACTAATATGTCTTAAGTTGAAAAAATAGCAAACAATAGAAAAACAAAAGATTATTAAATACAATAGTATCGTAGTTTTATTAGAAAGTTGATTTTGCTGATCAAAGAAATAAGTTATGGCACACTTATATTCAAAGAAATAAGATAGTGAAATTTATAAACCCAAAGAAATATTAAGTAGATGGAGCCTATTAATCGTTTGATTCAATAATCGATAATTTTCTTAATTAAAGTTATGAAATGATTACTTTTCTCAAGACAAGTGTTGCCGGACCAAAAATATTAGTCTATTTTTACCACAACGCCCACACAAACCATTATGACAGCGCCAAACCACAGGCAAAAATTTAGAGCATTTGGTTTGGAATTTTATCCAATATAACTCAGGCCGTGTTCCTTTTATGATCTTGCCTTTAAAATGCCAAAAATCCCACTCAATGGTGGTCCCAATAGTTCAAACGAACTTTTATATAAGTATATACGCACAATAGACCACCTTAGAGGTCGCAGTGCTCAAGGCTCATAATAATATAAGTATATATTATTTGTTTGACAAGTTAATCCTCTTTGCGTAAGTATTCGTTGTCATACCTTTGAAATGAATGACGTCCAAAAACCGTCTGGCAAAATCTACCAAAATGGCAACGTTGGTTAAGGCATAAGTATGACAGCAAATAATTGTCTGAATTTAAGTGGAATTTATTAAAGTATCGACCTCATTGTTGTCAATCAGTCGATGTGCTCAAGCTCCTCTAACGGTAGGCCCAGAAAACGCGCTGTTGCGGCGCGGTCAGGCCAAAGGGACAGGGATGTTATCTGTCACAAGCCGGAAATGTGTTGGGTATGTCGGGGTCGAGTCTATATAAGTATGACCTCGGTCTGCTACAGTATGCAGATCTTAATGTTAGTTGTGCCCGAATACGAGGCAGCTGAACCTCTTCATCTGCGACCAACCTGCCGCAGTACTAGGTGGAAGAATGAGATGCAGGAATGTCAATGACAATTAATTGTATATGCCACCAATTTAAGACGAATCAAGTATCCATAGGCAGTCTATACTCTGAGACCTGTAGATCTGACAGTCAAATCGTCTGGCAAATGACTGCAGTATCTTCAAAGTTGGAATTTATGTAGTAGATAAGCCCTGGGCAAAAGTTGGAGGACTCAGATAGGAAAAATGAAAAAGACAATCAACCAGTTCGGCGGCGTAGTGCTGCTACGACGGTAGTGCTGCTACGACGAGTTTTGCTAGCGTCACCGTGTCATCTCAAAGTCAATCTCTGTTGGGTTCTTGGACATACATAGCAATATCAAGGGGAATCAGACAGCTGGTGGAACAAAGTGACAATTCTATGCACCCTCCACTATAAACCAAAGAGCGAATTGTGATGTGTCAAGATCATTTAGCAAAGATTAAAAAATATGGAGAGATCTTTTGAAACTAAACCTATTTGCAATATGCTTCATTGTCGGGCGTTCTGCTATTAAACCTATGCTCCAGCGCGATTTCGTATACCAACAAGGACTCTCTGCGAAAAATGTAGCAGTGGATACGTGAAAGAATGCATTCACCACTTTGATGTTTCGATATCCAGGTCCTCGCCTGATTGAAAGTGTGGAAATTATTCATATGTAGCATTCCGACCTAACCTAACCTCTTCGAAATCGGCATGGCAATAACCTGCTTTAAATATATAGACTAATGTAGATATAAAAATATAGATTAATGTATCGATAATAGCATCGATAATATTGTCGTTAGATACTTATTAGAATTATCGATTTAAAAAAAAAACTCGAGCGCAGTATAAATATAACGCGGGCGATGTGGAGAAATATTATCATAAGCTAGTTTATAACGATATCAATAAATTGATTATGGTTGTGGATTTGCTTGTGTTTTAATAATTTTCTAAAAATATTTGACCTCGAGCCGGTACAACTAAGAAATACTACAATATCAGTAAATAAGTTTGTACATGTGTATATTACATAAAAACATCGATAACGAAATCAGTGAGTACATACATATCGATATCGATAAATTCAACAATTTTTATTGAGCTTGAGGCCGTTTTTAATGAAAAACTATTGTGGAAAAGCAAAAACAAGCTCAATAAAATTTTTTGAATATAATTGTTATAAGGCCATAAATAACAAAAACAGATATCGATAAATATCAAGCAAGGGCTAAAAACATATCGATTATACAGCCACTGTACATATAACGATAACGATATTAATGAAAACATCGATTAAAATTTCGATATCAAAAACTATATCGAAATCGATAAATGACAAACAATTACATAAGAAATTCGTAGAAATTTTAAAGAAATATTTTTTCCTTTGTATGTATGTTGAATCTCTGGTTTTCTTTGACTCCACTACTTGGTATGTACTGCGCCAACTCCGCAATCCCACCCATTGGATCACTTTGCGTTGCGCGCTTGTTTATAAAAACTTAATATAAAGAAAACTAATGAAAAGAAATTGTGTCAGCATATGAATTAAACGTAATTTATGCAAACTTTAAGCTATCGCTAACATAAAACGCGGCTGCCTATGTCGCAGTTCATTGCCTCATTGAATATATCGTTCCACATACACACATATGTACACACTTTGCTACACACATATGAAGTTAAACTCCAATATGTATGCGGTGTATTGTTTTCGCTTCTCTATTTTCGGCGTATTCACATACGATTACGCCCTCCTGCTCTCCCACTTTATTTCACTCCACTTCACACAGCACCAAACATTCAACTTTAGCACATTGTTTTGGCACCAACTAGTTTCACTAATTTTCAATTCTTTCACTCCATTACAGCGACTCGGCGAAGAACCTCGGCTTCACGGTTATCATTGATATGCGAGGCAATGGAATTGTTCAACCAATCTAAAGACAATACTCAAAGTGCTGCAGGAGCATTTCAGTGCTAACATACACAACGTTGTGCTCATTAAACCAGATAATTTCTGGCAAAAGCAACGTGCTTCAATATCGACAAATAAATATAAATTTGAAACATCGAATATATCTATCGAAGCGCTACACAAGATGCCGAATCTCATCAGTTGACTTCGGATTTTGATGGCACCCAGCCGTACGATCATCAACAGTGGACTGAATCGCGTCTGGCAATCGAAGATTTCTTTTGGCAGGCCAGCGATATGGCTGATCGCATATGACGATCTGCAGGAAGACTTGCAGCGCAACGACTTTGCCGAGGATGTGAATGGCGCCAAGCATTCGCTCGATCATCACAACGAAATGAAGAAGAAAATACAAAATCTGCCCATTGAAGATTTGGAATTGCAAAGTAAGAAATTGCTAGCCAAAATAAATAAGAATTCAGGTGGTGCTGGGTGCCAGGCAGACAGGTAAGTGCAAGCAAAACCTTAAATTGCCATTTAAATTGTTTAATTAAACTCTATATTTTACTACAACAAAGCCCTGTGTTGGCACTGGCGCTGACTGTGGCGGCAGCGATTCCGGCACTTCAACGCAGACGCAAAACTCTTCACCAGCTTTTCGCGCTGCCACCAACAATCCCGACATGGCCGCAGCTGTCAACAAAGCGCTGCGCCAAGTAGACCTCATACGGAATGGCCAACAGCGTCTACTTACGTTGTGGCAGCACAAGAAATCCAAATTGGATCAGTGTTTCCAGTGGCGGCTCTTCGAACAAGATTGTGAAAAAATGTTCGATTGGATTTTGCACAACCGCGATGTCTTTCAGATGTCATATGTCGAGATGGGCATAACTATTCTGTGGCCAAATCGCTACAGGATGAGCATCAGAAATTTGCTGTCGCTTCAATGAATGTATCAGTCAATATAGATCGCATACTAGCTGTAGCTGCACGTCTGATCGAGAGCCAGCATTATGCCGCACAGCACATTAAAACGCTAGCCACGCGTCTTGATCGCACTTGGAAAGACTTTGCCGCTGGGCTGGATGAGCGTACAGCAGTGCTGCAGTTGAGTGTGCTCTTCCATCACAAGGCGGAGCAATATTGCAATAGCGTTGCCTCGTGGGCAGCAGCCTGTCAAGCATCACAACCGCTTCCATCAGACATTCAGAGTCTGGAGACAGCCATACGCACACATCAGTCACTGTACGAAGCGATGTGTCAGGCCTACACCGAAGTGCACTCTACCAGCAAAAAACTACTTTACCAACTGGATCATCTGGTGCAGGTGTGCAACCAACCACCGCCACCTGGTGTACCCGATCACCGCAAGAATAGCAGCTTTAATAAGTACGAACGTCAGAACCCGGCAGCTGATTATAGTGAGGGTGCTTCTCATGTGCTTGCCGTCATCCACCAAATACTCGGTCATCATCGTTCGTTGGAGGCGAAATGGCACCAAGAGAAAATAAGATTGCATCAAACTTTGGCGCTACGCCTCTTCCAGGAGGATGTAAAACAGGTACTCGATTGGTTGAAAAATCATGGTGAGGTCTTCTTGCGCAAGAATACCGGCATAGGGCGCAATTTGCAGAAGGCGCGTGTTTACCAAAAGTCCCATGAGCACTTTGAAAATGTCGCGCAGAACACTTACAGCAACGCCGAAAAACTGCTCTCTGCAGCGGATGAGTTGGCGCGCAGTGGCGAAGCAGATCCGAACGAGATTTACTCAGTAGCACGCGAGCTGGAGCTGCAAGTGGCCAGTTTCGCTGAACGCGTTGAGCAGCGGCGCCGGCGCTTGGAAATGGCTGTCATATTTTACACGCACGAAAAGGAGGTGGGTCATCGAAGTTAATATTTTCTTCTTGAAACTGATACTCAAACCTTATATATACGTATGTACATTAATTTTAGGTGACTGCTTGGATCGATCAATTGCGCACCGATGTTTCCACTGACCAAACAATGCTCTCTCAAGAGAATCTCGAAGGCATTGAACGTCACCTGCAGCAATTTCGTGAACAGCAGGAGAGCACGCTGAAAGGTTGCATGCAGACTATTGCTCAAGGTGAAGCCCTACTGCAGGAAATGCGTTCACTTGAGTATGATGAAAATAGCGTATCCATATCGGGCCTGGAAACCACTTTGGAGAAATTGACAAAACAAAAAGTGGAATTGGAGGAGCTGTGGTCTGCGCGCCAATATCGCGCTGATCTAATACTCCGTTTACGTTACTTCGAACGTGACGCAATGGAGTTATCATCACAATTGGAAATTTGGTCGGAGGAGCTGCAGCATGCCGACTTGTCGCGTGACTATCAAAAGGCGGAGCAATTGATACGCATGCATAACGACTCTGTAACCGACATACAGAACACAACTTACGAGGTGCTACAACAGGGACAAGATTTGCTTCAAATGTTCGAAACTGCTGGCATCATTTCGATGGCAGATGCTACACACACAGCGCAGGCGCGCATACAGTACCTCCTGGACTTTTTGGGTGAACGTGAAATTGACCTTGAGGAACTGTCTGAGGCGAAGCGCGCGAAGCTGGAACAAGCTGTACAGTTGTGCCAGTTTCAAAATGATGCCAATCAAGTAATATCGTGGATACGTAATGGTGAAGCAATGCTGGTTGCCAGCTTTGTTACGCCAAATAGCTTACAGGAGGCAGAGCAGCTGCGCAAGGAACACGAACAGTTTCAGGTGATTTTGTGTAACACTGTGTGTGTTCATTATTACCATTTTTTAAATTCTCTATCCTTATTTGCTCTAAACAGGTCGCCATTGAGAAAACACACACCTCAGCCGTGCAAGTGAAATATCGTGCCGATGCTCTCATTAATGCCAATCATTACGATCCCCAATCGATACGTGAAATTTCCGACGATGTCACCAAGAAGTGGCAACAGTTGGTTACCTACGCTGAAGAGCGTCACAAACTAGTTACCGCCTCAATGAATTTCTACAAAACCGCCGAACAAGTGTGCTCCGTGCTCGATAGCTTGGAACGTGAGTACCGACGCGAAGACGATTGGTGTGGCGGTGGTGGCTCTAGCGACAAAGCGCAAACCATTGTGCAATTGATTTCGAAGCATCAGGAACAAAAGGAGGCATTCCTCAAAGCGTGTACACTTGCACGTCGTACCGCCGAAACATTCCTTAAATATGCAAATCGTTCACAACAGTACTACAAGTATCAGACGCAGGGTAATTGCGAGACACATGTTCGCACCATACTCGACAAGTTGTTGACTCAGGAAAATCAGGTGCTTGAATTTTGGACACAACGCAAGAAGTCGCTGGATCAGTGTCAACAATTCGTGCTGTTTGAGCGTAGCGCAAAGCAGGCAATCGAATGGATACACAACACCGGCGAGGCATATCTCTCGTCACGCACGAATCTCGTGGGTAAGACCCGCGAAGAGACCGAAGGTCTGCTCAAAGAGCATAACGAATTTCGCGGTACCGCGAAGGAAACGCGCGAGCGTGTAAAACTGCTAATACAGTTGGCCGATAGTTTGGTTGAGAAGGGACATGCGCATGCTAGCGCCATTAAGCAATGGGTGGCGTCCGTCGATCAAAGGTATGGGAGATTCGAGTTATTCTGTTTATATTATTTAAATATGAAAATTAATTTTCCAATAGATACAAGGACTTTAGTAATCGCATGGACACTTATAGAGAACAGTTGGAGAAGTCACTAGGCATGGCAAAAGCTCTGCCTGCTGAGTCGGATGCGAATTCTTCTATTAGCTCTGCTTCCGGTAAACAAATTTTAATAAGATTTCCGAAACAAAAAATTTGTTCGTTAAAATTGTGTTGAATAGCCTTTACCTTGTAAAGTATTGCTGCTGAATTTTAATTGTTATTCACATTTATCTTGCAGGTTCCACAACTGATCGCCACTCAGATCCTTCACTGGAAGCCAAACTCACCACATCGTCAACAGCCGCATCGAAAGAAATTAACGAAGAAAAACGTAAATCGGCACGTAGAAAAGAGTTTATTATGGCCGAATTAATGCAGACTGAACGTACCTATGTAAAAGACTTGGAAACGTGCATCAAATGCTTCCTTGAAGAGTTTCGCACTGGTCTGGGTGTACCAGCAGCATTGGCCGGCAAAGAGGATACCCTCTTCGGCAACATACGTGAAATTTACAATTTTCATCAAAAAATCTTTCTACGCGAATTGGAAAAATACGAAACTATGCCCGAAGATGTTGGTCATTGCTTTGTCACGTGGGCATCAAAATTCGATATGTATGTTTATTACTGCAAAAACAAACCAATTTCGAATAATTTGATGGTACAACATTCGGGCACTTATTTCGATGAGCTACAACATCGACACAAAGTTGAGCATCCATTGCCTGCGTTTCTAATCAAACCAGTGCAGCGCATTACAAAATATCAATTACTACTTAAAGATTTGCTCTCTTGTTGTGAGGAGAGTCATGGTGAAATCAAAGAGGGTTTGGAAGTAATGCTAAATGTGCCGAAGAAGGCGAATGATGCAATGCATTTGTCATTGTTGGAGAACTGTGATGTACCCATAGATAATTTGGGTGAGGCAGTGCTGCAGGATGCATTCCAAGCTTGGGATACCAAACAATTGATACGCAAGGGGCGTGAAAGGCGTGTATTCTTATTCGAATTGTATTTACTCTTTGCCAAAGAGGTGAAGGATTCAAATGGCTCTGTAAAATATCAATTCAAGAGCAAACTCATGACAACCGGTTAGTGAAAATAAAAACTAATTAATAAATTACGTTTATTAAATTGAGATATTAATCGTTTTTTTTCAGATATGGGCATCACCGAACACATTGAAGGCGATGAAACTAAATTCGCTGTGTGGACGGGACGTTCACCTATGCTCTCTGATTGCCGCATCGTTTTGAAGGCGAATAGCCTGGAAACCAAACAGGTGGGTTTCAAGATATGAAGTATGAAGATAATTTTTTCTTAAACTAATAGCTCTATACATATAGAAATTATTTTGGGTTAAAAAAAGTTAATATCAGCGATACATACTCATGAAGAATCAAAAAAATAAAAAAATATCTCAAAGCAGTCAATTCCCGGCAGGTAATAGCATATTCTGCGATTGATAAGCTTTTTTTTTAGATTTGTAGTAATTATGCAACTGGTGGGCCTTAGTATGCTCTAGAGTTGCAACCTTTCCGTTGTCAAAATATAAGAAAAGTAGTAGGATGTACCCACAACAACTTCATCTGAACTAATTTCTCTCAGAAGACCCATTAAAACACGAACAATTAACTTTAAACCCTTTGAGTATTTGAGGTGTATACCTCGCCTGCTGTAACTTTGCTGTATTTTGGTCTACTAAAAAGAACGGCTCGGACCCTACCGATGCCCACAGTAACTGGATAGGATTTACGATCGTCTAATGGACCATCGGCACACCTCACCTTCAAACATCCACCGATTTTTTAATTGCATGAGCAACATCTTCAATGCATCCTTGGACAATCTACGCGACAGTCAAGTCTACGTAATTAGAACTACCCACATTTATACCTGATCAAATATTTCATTCCGTCCTAAAAGAGAATTTCGATCCCTGGTACAGCAGAATCTAAAAATAGAAAGAGTTTTTTTCTAACTATGGTCGCAGGCTATGACAAACCCTCAAATATATATGTCTGTCGTGAAAAACATCTCGGAAAACCATTTGCCGGTGTAAAGCTCTAGATCCTTCGTCCAACGGCATAACAAAAATTTGTTAGCTCCAGATATTCCTTTGTTATATTTCGATGTTATCCTTTGCAAAGCCATTATCGTTCACTTTTCATTTTGTCCTTTTCTTTTCTTCTAGGTTTGGGTCAAGAAAATGCGTGAAGTAATGCAAGAAACCTGCTTTTCGGGCACATCACTTACGCTACCTAAGTCACCAGCAAAGAATTCAGGCTCATCGCAACGTTCATCACGTGATCTAGATGAACCATTGACGGAGAACGATCATGATCGTTGTTCACTGGCCAGTTTCGGTTCCGGCAATACCACAGATAGTGACAATAAGGTAAGTGATTATAGTTTCCAAAGTAATTGAATTTATACACAGTGCATAAAAAATACATATATGTAACGGCAAAGCAACGATCTTACGGCAGCATAAGACAAGTGTACGTCGCCATTTTTTGCAAATTTCAAAGTATACATATTTATCATGCACCTTTTCCTATTTCACGCCACCTTTTCAATTTGATTACATTTGCTTTGAATTAAATTTAATAGCTGCATTTGCCAACAATAAAAAACGAGGCGTGTGAAAACTCAATTCGATCATCACAAAGGCATGTTTTGCGAATATTTTCAAACAAATGGCTAAGCATTTTACGTTTGTTTATGATGTTTACAGCAATATGTAGGCACATCTGTTTACTTCTCTGACTGCCGGCGTGTTTGTTGGCATTTAAATGATTTCAGCATGCACGTTCTTGTGTATGCCTTTTAAGATAACTCAATACGAGTGATAATGAAACCAAAAAATTAATATTTATAGCACAGTCATCCGCTGACAAGCTTTTCTATAAAATTTGAGCTTTCCCTTCAAGCTTTACTTATGCTTAAGTTCCCATAAACCCTAAGTATTTCCTTCTGAAAATAAATAAACAAATAAATACTTGTGTAAAAATAAGGAAAAAGCTTCCAGTTGCGGTCGAAGGCCAACAAACATCTGGCCGGTAGCTTTTTTTTACATCGCCTGCTGTGACATTGCGCAATGCGTTTGCCACTCACTCCTAAGCGTGTATATCAGCAAAGACTGCATTTGGCCTACCTCACTTGGCAATTTGGTGTACATTTGTGCAGGGGTATTCAGTTTTGTTCTTACATGTGTTTTATGTAAACTTTGCCGTCGTTTTAATGACTTTAGCGCTTTCCAGTCATCCCTTGCGCTCACAAGATGATATGGTGTAAGCACTCTTCTGAGAGCGGGAATGAGCGAAAAGTAAAAGAGAGAATGCAAGCATACGCTCACAACACCCCCATAAAAGCTTTCAGTATGTAATTATTTACATTTAATTTATGCGTTTTTTTTCGCAGCAGCGCGCTATTCACACATACACACATACTAACGCATCTGTAGAAAAGTTTATTTTGATACGCAAGACTTTTTAATATTAATTTGGTTCTTAAGACCTTTTAAAGATTAAGTATATTTAAGCATATTCCATATTATGATTATCATAACATTTCAAATTATAATGAAAAATATATCAAGTGCTTATAGATACTAAGTGCCTATAAGTTTGAAAGGGGCCAAGTCATTTCATACCTCTTATGCTTAAATTACCGGTTACTTGTAACCGAAAGCGAATGTAACTACCCTCATAAACTTATGACAAAACCTGTTCACCTACGCGTACTAAATATCTGCAATTTTGCAAAAGTAAGCTTTTAATGCTAACATCAATTTCTAGATTTACTTTCATCCCTGCTTACAAAAAATGAATGAGCTGACAGCAGGTTATTCACTGATAATATATCTAAAAACCTACCCATTGATCGGACCCGCAGAAATTCAGAAGCTGGCAGTTGACAATGCATCCATCCTTTGGTGTATAAGGCCGTCAAGCGTCGAGGAACCAACCACCCTAAACCCAGTATACCTCTTACTTTCACCAGCGATAAAGTTCGGGTGGCCATCGAGAAAGCAAAATATCGAAAAGCCGTTAGCTTCATAAACATTCAGATAACTCGCTGTCTAAACCGTAACCACCTCTGGGAGAGAACTGCCCTATGATGTAGTAGCGTCGGCCTTTGACACCGCTTGCAACTCTATGCTAGTAGAGGACCTTGAGGCATCATTATCCCATAGGGTCAGTACTTTTCGATATCAAAGCTCAAAGCCTGAAATAATTAAACAAGCGGTCCCACAGAGTGGCTGTCGCTCTGGTCTCCTATGCCGAATATTGTTCGCTGTTGGCGTCCAGTATTGGCATTGCCGGCCCGTTTTTGAAAGTAAATTTCTCGCATCTTCACTTCACGGAGCCGCCTAACCATTTCCCTACAAAATCAACGTCGATCATTTTCGTTAGCTGGAGAAGCAGGTGCAGCTTCAAAGTCCATGACACTAAAATCGATCGTTTATAAAGTCAAAATTTTAGTATTATCTTTCACATGCTTTTCTCCTCCTCCGCGCATAAAAGCCCAGTAATATATATTTTGATATCGCCAGAAACCGAATGCATAGCGTTACCTCAATGCTCCTCGTCAAAGATAAAAGTTTCTTGTCCAGCAAGCAATTCCTGCTCGAACAGACATTTGCTGGCTGGAAGCAGAGTCACCTTCTGGGCACGACGAGATCTAGATCTACATCACACAACCACTGGACCCGACAAACCAAGCTATAGCTGCCTCGAAAGACCCGCGTAACTTAGGCGTAAATAAGGTTTGGACACTGCAACAGACACAAATCCTACTTATCCAGACTCGGCCCCGACATACCCAACGTATGTAAGTCTGGCCAATATATGTCCGGCTTCTAAAGGTGTCCCACAGACACTAATATCTTCTCTTCACTTGCCCCCTTAAACTCATTCAACTAACACTCTTCTCCCTTTAGTCCAACCATAGTGAAGCAGCACGTTTTGTAGGCCCACCCTTATTGGAGTAGGACGTTCAATCGTTTTCAATTTTCTGCAACTCCTTATCCTTGAGGCGACAAAAAAATTAAAGGGCTATTTCAGTGAAATCAGGCAACGAAAAATCTTCCGCCGAAAAGACGCATCAATTCATTCTTCACAGCCGTATCTCACTCTATACTCTATAACACCTGTTTTATTAACCCAAGATCACTGTCCCAGTTCTATACAATTCCCTTCAAGATTTTGTGAGTTTGAGTTGAAAAATTAGTATGTCAGTGGGCGTCTGAATAACTTGGCCGGAGTACTTAACTGCTCACTCTTATTTCTAGCATTATTTTATTAATTTCATTTTACGCTACTCGAGTGGCTGATAGGTACCTACATATACTTATGTACTTATATACATATATTAAAGTACATAGCAGCTGCTTATAAGTACAAAGTGGCGCATTGTTAGAATAATAATAATAAATTATAATACTATGTATATACATACAAAAACAATAATAATGTGCAAAAATGCAAGCTTTTTCGCCAATGCAGAAATTGTTTTAGCACATTTGAATAGAGAAAGCTCGCTAGCTCGCTCTCCACGCGCGCTCACAACAAGAGTTCCTTTTTAGTGCACTGCATGCCTTCACTTTACCTTTTAGCGGTGTTTATTGTCGTCGTTTGCTGCTCAAAACAACCTTTCTATCAAAACTCTTGTTTTCGCCGACAGCTGCTCAGCACACATTTGACGAGTAAAAAGCACTGTGAGTGGGTGTTTTGATGGCACAAGTGTGCGCTGTCTGTTAGCCCTGTTAGCTGTTAGCACGGCTATGTAAGTCAATGGGTCGTGCTCCCCGGCGGTTAGTGGGTGGGTGGGTGGATGGGTAGTTGATTTCGCCCGGTCGCTCGCCTCTGGACCAATGACGCTGACGCTGCTGTTGAGCATTTGAATTGTGTTATCTCGTGCGTTGTCACGAGAGGAGCAGCTACGTATGCTTGTATGTATGTATGAATGTATGTACGTAGTACATTTTGCTGCGATAGGAGCATTTAAGCTTACACGCTCCGCTCGTACGCTCATGCTCGCACTACACTCTTCGGTTCGTTTTGATGATAGACTCTTCCCATAGCAGGCAAGCAGGCAGCGAGACGACTTCCAGTTGCGTTGTTATGTTGTTTGCAAAAACAACCGCATATAGTCTAACGCGGTGCGGAAAGTGTGTCGGTTGGTCGTTGATTAAAAAGGAAATAGTCGAAACACGCACGGCCGTCGGTCGCACGCCCGTTTGAACGTTCATACTTACCAAGCGATTCGCGGACTATGTAGTCTCCTAGAGCCTGTGTGCTGTGCTGCGCTGCGGTCGTCGATGATACTTTCAGCCTCTACACTACCACCTCCATACCTACACATACTACTTGTGTGCCATCTTCTTTGCATTAAACATTTTCTCAAACAACTCTGCTCAACTATTACGGATTTAATAACGTAGAAAGGGAAAACTAAGAAAAACTTATCTTTGACCATCATCGCTGTTACTTCTGTGCTGCGAGTCCTGCGGCTGCTGTGCTATAACATTTCTTCGACCCAACACTTAACTCCTATTCTTACATTGATGCGTAGTGTCGCTTCTTCGGCGCAGTGAACATTTTTTTTAGTGAAGTGTTTTTGGTGATAAAAATAGTTTGATGATATTTTTGGGTAAAGAAAAGTGGCAGAGTTCAATTTTTTTGGCTTAACGAAAAGGCAGAAAATAAAATATTTGCTAATTTTGCAATGGCTGCTTATGTGGCAACTTTTAATTGAAATTTCAAGTGTTTTTAGCCAACATTGTTGTTGTCGTTGTTGTTGTTGTTGATACAGCGAACTAGCATTCACCTACTGATACAAAATTCTGTAGGCATGTAGCTGCGCTATCTAATCTAAAAAGGTTTGCCAGTGAAGCGCAAAAAAAAACGTAAAAAAGCGCTAAGAAAACAAATCAGTAAATTAAGCAAACTTAGTGGATTTAAGCAAAATAAATAACCCACAAAAATCAAACGTAGCAAGTAAATCAATGGAAATGCTGTGGCTTAGGCAAAAAAAAAAAAAACGAGTGAAACAAAAAACTTGCAATAAAGCATTTCAGGAATCTGAGTGACTTAATCACTCTAGTCTAGCAAAAAAGCAGCAAAAAAGGGATGTATTAAAATCAAACACACACACACACACACACAGTTTCGCAAATAAGACAGAAAAAATGCAAACGAAAGGAATTTTTATAGATCAAATTCAGAACATTGAAGCTTTTTTTTTGTGAGGTTTATCAAATCTACGAGTATTATCCGCTTACGACACAGCAGCACTAAAGTGGCATAGCCGAAATTCCAAATTTGCCTGCCTGCCTGCCTGGCTGCTTGTATGCGAATAGGTGGGTGGGGGCGTTTGTATGGGTGTGTGTGC